TACCAACAGTACTGAAGACTTTAGATGATCTGGTGTTTGATACACATTCATTCATTGATGAGAAAAATTCTGTGATTGGTTGATTGAACGCGAACAATTCTGTGATTGGTTGTTCCACCAGATGAAAGATTCGAATGGTACATTTGTACAGACTGTTTTATGGACTGAGGAAGATTGGCACAGATTGCGAAGATATTAATACAAAAAATATGCATTATTGGGCAACAGAGAATCCACATTGGATTCGTCAAATTGACCACTAATACCTGTGGAAACTAAATGTTTGGTGCGGTATAACTGGTCACCAAATCATTGGACCGTAGATACTTTATTGAAAAATCATTAACATGTCAAACATACTAACGCTTTTGATCGTTATTGTCCACACTGGGAGTAATAACGGTTACGTCGTGAACAATCGCACTCTAGAGTCTAAAAACAACTTTCACATATTACATAGAGAGTTTCTTAGATCAGGTAATACAACCGGATAGAAGGTGATTCTACAAGAAAAAATAAACCGAAAAAGAAAAAACCAATTCTTTTGTTTTAAGTTTCGTTTCCGAGAAGGTTAGGCTTGGAAATTTAACACGTTCCGTGCCACATGTACCACTGGTGGTACAAGCAGCCTGAATGGGAAATTTAACGTGTACCATCGGTGGTACGTATGACACGGAACGTCTTAATGTTGAACTGTAGTTTAAAACAAGACCAACAGCCTCTATTACCAAAAGACACATATTTTCGGTAATTTATGACTTGAAGAACGACATAAAGATTGTCTGGCTACGTACCGCCTTTTTCACTGTGGCATCGAACGTGTTAAGAATTCGTCTAATACGCGCGTATTCGTGATATGTAGCAGTAAGTAGAAACTACCTGTAATGAACAGACACGTTAACCAAGTCCTATTCTACTGCTCGTGTATCCAACACATTTTCAGATTCGATTATCTTGAAAATGAAGGGTCACCTGAACAAATTTTATTCCTTCTTCTCGATTTATTTTTTCTTACGCATCTTGACGGGTTATATTACCTGTTCTGAGACACCTCATATAGTCGTCGATTGAGTCCCTGCTCACTGATCGAAGCTCCAGGCCACATGTAATTAACTAATTAATTCATCAGTAATTTTAAATTAAATGGCGTTATGCATGCAAGGTGTAACACCAGTAACATGTTAAAACAAAAAATGCTTGTTTTTCTCGAATGCGTAGCAATAACTTAACTGGGTCGCTTAGAGATGCAGAGGAGATTGTTACGAGACATAAGCAACAACAATTGTGAACCTTAGACGTTTCACTTTGTGATGTAATAGTACCGAGCGTCATTGCCCTATTCTCCCCTAACGTCAAACACAATATCTACATTCCATGGTGTCGCTTTTGAAATGCTACTCACTGGAACTAAAATTAACATTTAATCCTCCGAGAATTTTATCGAACTGCATAATATAAATTCAACAATTACGCCGAAACTGTCAGAATGAAACGTTAGATTATCTCCGAGCGATTTATTCAAATCGTTCGCGACCTTAAAGTTTCATTTGGTCGATTTGTGACGTCATACGACGGTATTGAAAGCCACGTGAATTCAATATCGTGGAGAAAACAAACGGGGGGAAAATCCTTTCGGCGGTTTAGGTACTTGGTTACATCACGAAATTATTTTGGGGGGGGGGGGAGGGGGTGATGGTGGGAATGGCTTTGAAATCCTCAGATTAGTGGAATTTTGTAGTAGATTGTCTGGCAGCGTGCGTCACTGTGTCCTTCACAATAACGATTCTGTACCGACGTTGTTTCGATATGGCTTCGTGCCTCCACACAAATACAATAGAGCCACGGTTGAGGCGATTCGCGGATGTAAATGAGAGAAATGGCTGGGGGTAGGAGAGAAAGAACGCAGAGAAACAAAAAGGAATCGAGGGAAAGGGCAACATCGAAAGAGAGAGGGAGAGAGAGAGAGGCGGATAGAGGACCTCGAAGAGGAAAGATTAAAGAAGGAGAGAAAAAGGGTGGAAAGCGAGGATGGGGAAGATAATAGAGATGACTTATTTGATTTACGTTCTCGTTTGCATCTCTTCTTCTCCCATATCCTACCCCCTCTCTCTCACTCTTTCTCTTTCGCTCTTGACTTTCATATGATCGTTCCTTTTTTTGCACGCGATAGAAACTACTACCGAGAGACTGAAAATTTCGCAGGATCGATGGTAAAGGGTTTCATCCCTTCGACTTCTCTATTCACAAAAAAGATTCATCTCTCTGTGTGTGTGTGTGTGTGTGTGTATATTGCTTTTTTCATTTTATCACCGATATATCGGAATTCGGTGACACGTAATGTCAGAAATTTTAGTGAAGAATTTTTGTCGATTTTATGTCTGAACACCTGAAAGTTTTCTATGGAATTCGATTAAAACTGGGCCACCACGCTCGTAACTTCTGGAAGAACGAAGAAGAGCCGTTTAAATGGAGCGAGGCGGCATCATTGATTGCTTTCTATTAATTATTATTTCCTTCTTTCGCTGGCTATACAGGGTGAGGCAATAACTATGTCCACTTTGAATATTGCCGTTATTTGTAATAATATGAAAAAATGTTATATACAAAATTTACACGGTATAGAGGGTGGTATATTGTGACGAAAACATTTTCTGCGTGGGTGAAGGTATAGAGGAGATTTCAAGGTCATCTCTATTTTTTTTAATGAAATGCTATGTTTTTTTTTATCGCGATGTGATAGCCGGTGTTGAGACGACTTCAGCGAGCTATCATTGAAGGTCATGCAAGGTCAAATGTGGTAGTAAAATAAACTCGTTTACGGAGATGCTTGAAGTGGTGACCATTTTGCGTTAATGCAAAGTTGCAATCGTATCTGAACCTATTCCAGCACATGCTGTATTATTTCATAGACCTCCACTTTTACATAAACGAATGGTCTAGAAAATGTACCACTACACGTTCGCCAAATGATGTGGTTACAGCACGACGGGTGTCTAGCACATTATGCTCGGAGAGTAAGAGATGCACTGAACGAACTTTACCCAAATAAATGGATAGGACGTGGAGGATTAGTTTCTTGGCCACCTCGTTCTCCAGATTTATCCCCATTAGATTTTTGTCTCTGGGGAGCATTGAAAAATGCTGTTTATCAAGAACTACTCACTACACCAGAAAATATGAAACAACGGATAATTGCAACATGTGCTAGAATAAGTTCAGAAACGATACATGCACGTGATGCAGCGGTACGAAGATTGCAACTTTTCATTGACGCAAACGGTCACAACTTCGAGCATCTCCTGTAATGTAAGAAAATTTATTTTACTACCACATTTGACCTTGCATGACCTTCAATGATAGCTCGCTGAAGTCGTCTCAACACCGGCAATCACATTGTGATAATAAAAACATAGTATTCCATTAAAAAAGATAGAGATGACCTTGAAATCTCCTCTATGCCTTCACCCACGCAGAAAATGTTTGTGTCATAATATGCCCCCCTCTATACCGTGTAAGTTTTGTATATAACACTTTTTCATATTATTACAAATAACGGCAATATTCAAAGTGGACATAGTTATTGCCCCACCTTGTATAAAGGCTAGTTGTACCTATATACAGCGAAAATTCAATTGTTCTTAATTATAGATGAACATAGCGTTCGGATAATTTAACGATTGTATTTGGGGACGATGAAAAATTATTTACTCAAGAATGTTCCGCTGTTGACAAAATACAAAAGCATTGTCGCATCTTTTTGTATCTTTTCAATTCAAAATGGCGATTTCATCACTAACACTAACACTATTAATTTTTAAACTAGAATGTACTTAAAGAAATTAATGCAATACAATTTGGAATAAAAATAATTTTGTAATCATACATACAGCTGCGTAATCTGTTAAAATTTATTCAGAAAGCTCATGGCGTATTTACTTATGTTCAACATTGCATTCAATATCTTTCCTAAATTCGGACAATTGTGTTTTTTTATTAGTTTTAACCCTTAGAAACCACACCCTACCACAGCATACGTAATCACCACACTAATGCGAATTGGGATTTTGAATTTTTGATGATTCAAGACTTGTAGAGAATAAAAATAAATTGAACTCATGACATATTTTTTAAGGTAAACTTTTCTGAGAAATTCAATGGTAATAATTGCAAAAGTGAGAAACAATTCTTTATTGTAACGGAAGGAAACCGTTAAGATAGCCAGATAGAATGTTACAGAAGAGATAATTTTTTGCTGGTGCAAATTCGCACTAGTGTGTTGTCTGAGGGTTAAAAACGTTCACTTCATAGTATACGAATCACGTAATATTATATGTCCATATTATTTGTTTCGTTATTTACACGGTCGTTTATATCCTACATTTTTTAATGTCTCCGGAACACTTTCTTCGAGACACTATTAACCCTCGTGCACTGTTCGGGTCAATTTCACCCGATGCCAATGTTCGATTCTTAATTTAATTTTTTATTATAGAAATTTGTAAATTAATTTGAAACCAATAACTGGCATAGATTACATTCGAATAATAGGACAATTTATTTCCTTAAGTCGATTTTAATTCAGGTCAAATATAATTCAAGGAATATTAATGCAACTGTTTATTGAACAGTGTACGAGGGTTAATAAATTAGTCCAATGCCTTGAACACTAAAGTTGAAAGTAGCTTTAGAAATAGCGAAAAATATGCAAAATACTTGACAAGAAAATGTACATATGTATAAGATAAGGTGAAATGGTTGTGAAAACTATTAAATAATTAGAAGCAAATTATATTTTTTTAATCCTTTAGAACAATTCTGAAACATGTTTAATGTATGATTAGTCACTACCTTCCATTGAACTAAAATAAAATGCTCAAATTGCTTCAGAAAACTGTGTATATTATAGACAGTAGTAGATATAGTAAAGACACATACAACGTGAAAATGAAGTAATGTTTACTAAGTATGTAAAACAGGAGATATCACGTTTGTTAACTTACCTTTCCAAACTCACTGAGACCTGGCGTGGAGTCCTGGGTACTGTTCGTCTCGCCAACTGAACAGACTGCCCTGCCAAGAAAATGTCTGTTAGAACTTCCTTCTTTTCACGCGTGAAACCGTCAGCAAATATTAATCATTCTTGATCGGTTTTGCTTTTTTTTATCACTTTAACTTCTTTTTCGTTCTATAGTTCTTTATTTATATAAAATTATAGTAGAATAATAATAACTAATCTGCGGATGTTTATGTAAATTCACATTTTCATAGACTACTGCAAAGACTAGAGTCGAGTAAATGTTTATTTGCATAACTTTATGACATAATTAATTTATGTGTCTTGAATTTTTTCTGTTTCCGAGCATTTTTACGTTGGTAAACTTCTCTTACGTTGGAAAATCCGCAGTCAAATAAACACAAATTGTAATGTAAACTAAATGACGACGATCAATTATAGTTTTTTGACTGTGGATTGAAAAAGCAAGTATGTCACTGATATTTCCAAACGATTTTAACACTAGGTTTACGGGACGCGTCATTTTGACGCATTTCGAATGCTTTCTAACCTCGAAATTATCTATGTGGTATACTTATCTCTATAGCTATGCATTAATTTCAGAGATCATAAAATGTGTATTATATAAAATAAGTTGTTTCTTAAAGAAAATCTGCGGGTTCGTTGATGCATGCCGTGGAGATACCTACACGATAAGTGCCCGTAAACCTAGTGTTAAGAAATGTTAACTATAACGACTACTATGTGCATTTTTAGTTGGTATAATAAATTTATCCCAATTGTAGATTAAAATAAAATTTCATTCATAATTGTAAATTTTTTGTTTTTTATAATCGTGTTACGTACGAAGACACTCTCGTGACCTCTTAACCCTATAGGGAGTTGGAATGCATCCGGCCAGATTACGTGGCTAGCCACGTGGTGTTATGGCGTGGACGGGTTTTCTTGGAAAACTGATTCCGTTGAGGAACAGGCGTGTCCCCCGCTACTTTTAGACTCGAATTTCGGGGTATAAAAGGACATGTACAGCTCATCCGCAGGTCATACTCATACCAGAAATCTATGCAATTAATGAAATCAGGTATTAAAGTCCCTTTGAAGCATTTATAAAAGTAAGCTATACTCTGTACAACAGGCCCCCGTATTTCTCAGTGCGTGAAAACCGAGAACGTTGGAATTATCTTCCGCGATCACAACTTACATTAACATCTGTTAAACCTTTACTTTCTTGAATATACTTTATATACATTTATACAGGGTAAACCACGAATCATGGTCAGTAGAGATTACTCTGTTGTTAGCAGTCCGATTGAAAATGTTTTTATCAGGTATAACATGGTTTCAAGAGAGCTTCAACGTGATTATAGTAAATTTTTTTCACGATTTTTCAAGGTTACCTTCAATTTTTTTGCAAATACACCTATAATTGTTGTACGTTCATCTGTTAGAAAATTTCAAGACGAATTCGATAAGTATCATAACATAACATGTGTTACTTTTTTTTTCATCTGGGCCGAGAAAAGGTTAAAGAAATATTCGAACTCTAATATTACAAAGAGTATCGTATGCTACGCCATTGTAGGCGTTCCGATGTTCAGCTCTTGCCTACTGTTTGTAAACATTTCGTTCTGTACATTGGAACACATCTAATGATATCTACTGATCACGATTCGTTGTTCACTCTGTATATTTATAATTCAGTGTTGTTCATTTCAACTCTAGAATAATATCTAAATTCCCAGCTAGAAGCGAACCCACAAAGGCACACTTTTACCGCTCGAAGTGTACCAAATTCTTAAAGTTATGAGGCCCATACTAACAAATCTAGTGGCTCCCTGAGATGAAATGGGCACAGGTTCGTCCACATAAAAAACTCAAAAACCAAACTCGCCATTTGTCAGCTTTCGCAGTCGCTTAGCCCGGGCTCGTAACAATCGATTGCGTGTCTTCTTTACTTCTAAAAATATTACGATATGTAGAATATTGAATTACAAGGAAAACAAATATGAAAGCAAGATTTCCCAGTTCCTATCTAAGGAGAAAGAAATCATCGTCGAGCAATCGGCGAGATTAAAAATCTATTTCTGTGGCAATTTTCTCGGCATTTTTTCGCACTCGTGGATGGGCAGGCGGATGGGCGGTAAAATTTAATTCGTTCGGGACGGAGGCGAAATCCGAAGGTGCAATCTTCAGGGACCGTTTTAAAATTGAGAAATAATTTGTCACCCGTGAAAGCAATTTTTGACTTCGAGTGGCGGGCGTATAACGTCCCCTCGTTGGTGAGAGAGGTGGTCACGGCTCAGAACGCCGAAAGATCGTCGTCTGGGCGACATGCGAGGCCATAGAAAATTTAATCCGCCCGCCGCCGTCGTGGCGAGGAGGGGAGGGAGCGTCTGTAATCATTCTTCTTCCCTCGATTTTCGCCCCGATGCCAATGCCGATGCCGGTCCGCCGCGGAAACGCTTCAGAGGGGGCATTAGGAAAGAGAGGTCGACAGCTTGTTGTCTATCTAGAATTGCGGAAAATGCAATCGTCCCCGACAATTCCGTCTTCTCATCCGGGAAGGGGGGGGGGGTTTGGAAGAGCGCGTGGAAAGACAAAGAGCCGCAGGAACAAGGCGGGAAGATGGAGGACAAGATTAGAGATTGACGCCTACGCCTATGAAACCATGTTCTCTACACCGACGCTGACGTTTTATCACGGCGAGGCAATTTTTTTTTATGGTAACGACGCACAGTATTTCAACACAGCTGTCTAAACACGAAAAACTGTGTTCCTTCTTAAAAGTTTATAGATAATTGTGAACAAGTAGGATTATTAAAGATTACGACCTTCTAAAATTATTTTCTCTATAACTGCGGAATATTTAAAACGAAAACTGAATTATTTCAGTATACATAGGCGCGAAGATTTGAAACAGTTGATTGTTATTATTCTTTAGATAATTCTATTCTATAGACAATTCTATTAGATCTGGATCTACTAATAGACAGAATGCGATATCCTTTCTTTCGTCAGGTGGTATATTTCGTAAAGCTGAAGCAAATCTACCTAATAAAGAATTAGTCATTTAGGACGCATCTACTTAGACAAATTTTTTAAAATTTGTAGAAAAACCGAAAAAATCACCAATTTTTCACTTTTCAAAATAAAACTGTGATTTTGTTTCAACACTAATTCATTACCTACATTTTTCTATCGATTGATAGCTAATAATTTGTAGTTAATGAAAAAAAATAACAGATGTCACCTTCATGCTATACCAAATATTTGCCCGTAGGGCCACAGAAACAATAACACCAGCCCCCACCACTTGCAACACAATATAAGCAAGTGGTGGGGGCTGGTGTTATTGTTTATGTAGCCTCACGAACGAATGTTTGGCTAGGCATGGTCTAATGAGAAGTTTATAATGAATTTCTAGATCCAACAGCGGAACCAAAAGGTAAAATATTCTTTTAGATGATAGTTTGTCTTCTTTTGTTCACCAATACGTTACCTGCAAAGATTTGAGTATTGCGTAATTTGATGGAAAGGAAAAATATAGGATTGAAGGGAAGATTTATGTCGAAACAAGCTAAGTCAGGTTTTTATTTACGACGTCTTGAGGCACGGCGTCGAGGGACACGTAACATAGGCAGGGATTGAAAACCAGGTCGAATCGGGTCGTCGGCCATTGTGTAATACTTTGGACCTGAACTGTTAGTTATACCCGATGCTATCAGTAACCGCGTCGTACTTAACATGCCAAAAAATACCGATGTCATCTCCCGAAACTCTTCGAAGTATGTATTCCAGGTTTCTAACAAGCCTCACGGAATTTTGCAACTTTAATGGCGATCATTCGATGCGAATAACGTGTTGGAGTAAATCCAGTGTAACGGTAAAGAAAATTAAAGTGTAGTATTAAAATAATTTTTTGATATTAAAAATTATGTAGGGGTGTCTTTACTTAAGAATACATATAAATATTACATAAACTTTACATCAAACATAGTGATTTTAACGCATAATAATTATAAGAACGTAAAAGAAATAAAAGAACATAATTCTCCTTTGGTTGTATAGAAAACGATGGACCCATCCACCGGTTTTCTCAGACTGTATATCGTTAAATCGTTACTTCAATTTTATGAGACTAATATATATGTTGTATCGTATTATTTTGAAGTCGAAAATATCGATATTAAACTGACCTATTATTTAAATTGTTTGTATTTTTTATTTACTCTTGGAGGGAATACTTGAACGTCCTAACCGAAAACGCTGGGGGTCTAATTTACTATCACTGAAATTACGGATTCTTGCTGAGAAGAGTTAGATATTAACCGGCAACAGAATTTGATGCATTTTTGAAATAAGTGTTGCATCGGTGTAACACTGGACGTTAAAGTGTTAAAGAATTATATAAAAATATAACGCACCTTAATTTTCGAAACTGGATTACGTCTTTTGAAAACGAATAGAAGCAGTAAAATTTAATGGCGCGTTATCAACACTCCTTCTGTATATCACTATTTTTATTGTTCCGCCATGTTTATTTTATACAAGAAACACACCATTCGCCAGAAACAAAGCTTTAAAACATTTCGACGTGTATCTTTTTGTTTTTAGGGTGGGCTAGGACAGAATTGATGAGATGCATAAAGTAAAGCTCTATTTACAACAGGCCGGTACAGGCGGCACCGTGGGACACATAAAACTTGGCCGAAGGATTGATGTCCCCAAGGAACTCACATTTCTACCGCGTTTCGACATTACACCACCGACAGCCCCATGTTTCTCGTGAATCCGAGCACGACGATTTCAGCTTTTCCCGGTGAACAGAGAAAATAATAAGAAACTTTACAAGCCGTAAACGTTGAACACCAGATTACGCCCCCCCACTCCGAAGATTGAATCGGCGAACTTAAACACAGGTGAGTTTCGTCGAATTACAGCGACCGAAAGGAAAATCGCGTGTTTTTGTCGTTACGATGAAATCACGGTGAAAGAAATCCTGAGCGAAGGTCAACTTCTCATAGAAATGTATCGGTTATCGAACATCTGAAGAGGGCCTTCTGAAGCATCCATCGTACCATTCATCGCTTGATCACGATCGAGGGAATTCATGGGATCATTCGTACGGATTTCCCTTGATCCTCTGTAGAAACGTAATCCACCGATTTTATATGGGCAAGAATGTTTCTTGTCGAAGAATTTCAAAAATTCGATTTCTTCCCGGGAGAACAAAACGGAGGAGAAATTTGCTCACAATGGGCATCGAGGGGTTTGGTGGTTCGCCAAAAGAAAAGTATTCTTTCCGTTCCTTTCGAAACAAAGTTCTTTTGGGCTTCGTTTCGTCCGATGCGAGACGCGAGTGTAGGTTTTGGCAGGCCAGTGAAATCGTCGAGATGGAAGAAATTTCTGCGCGCCAAGGATTTAGATTGCCTCGAGCTCTTTCAGGCTGATCGGCCGCGGGATAGGTTTTTCCTTCCGACGATGGATCGCGGTACAAAGCGGAACGGCACGATCCGGGCGAAAAGGTACTGTAGGTCTTCGTGAAAGAGCGAAGGGAGATAAGTTTCATTCGACGATTAATTGAAATCGAAAAGGATTCCTCTAATCGTAGAATGTTTTAGACGCAATTAAGGCGATGAGCAATCCTCCTTGCACGACGCACAAACATATGTCGCTTTTCAAATTTCCTTCGCTTTCATCGAAGTGAATGGAATCTCTTCGACTTCTATAATTTCTTGTTATCTGGGTTCAATATTCTTTTACTGCTGTACTTTAATAATTTGCCTTTTAAAACCTTCGATGATATATTAATATTAACTACTAGCGATAAAATTGACTTCCACTAGAGGAAAAAATGGCGTAGGGGAAAGGCCTCCTATCACTTGATCTCGGGAGTTACTGAAATTTATACCACATTAACATTTGGTTTAACATTTATTTCTGTACTTGAAATAAATTTACGAAGTGGTAAGAGGCAGTTACCCCTACGCCGCTTATCCCTCTAGCACAAGCCGAGTTTACAGGTGAGTGTACAGGATGACCCACAAACGCGGTCCACTTGAAATATCTACGTTATTTCAAACAATATGCCAAAATGTTACTATTGAAAGTTGTAGTATTTAAAGAAATACATAATACTGTAGTAATGATTTTGTGACAGGTGAATGCCTAGAGGAGATATAAAGGTCAATTTTGCTTTCGTAAATGGAATGTCTAACTTTTTATGAATAGCGAATTCTGGGTATAAAAGTGCTAAAGTATATTTATCCTAACACTTACAGTTTCTGAGACAATTGACCTTTTTCTGAACTATTTTGTCCCTACTTTTGTGTACATTCGAAGTATGTATTATGTACATCTTCACACATGTTGCATAATGAAATTAATAGGATGAACAAAGTCAAATATCTCGGAAACGGTAAGTTTCAAGATAAATGTACTTGTGAATCACGTAAAGCTGTAAAGCAAACTGTTGTAATCTGGTTCAGTTCAAAGTATGCTTCCTTCCATAGGCAAGGTTTGGAGAGATGGAAATATAGGCTGCAAAAGTGTATTGATAATGACTCTGATTCAGAATTTGTCTTTTATTTCAATTTCCCGTGAACTTCTTGATATCTCCACGTAAACATAGTTCTGCAAATGATTTTGAGATACATTTTAAAGATTTTCATTGAAGTGTTTCTTCAAAATTTTTCTAATTTTGCTTGAAATAAGAAAAGAAATCATTATATAGAAAGTAGATAGATAAAATAAACTTTGTACCGATATCGATATCGACATTGTTTATCAAACAATAGAAACAATTTGCTCTGAATTTACTACTGATAAAAAGCAGCACAAACTTCTTTGGATACCGACATAATATGTGTACAGAATGGTTTTTTATCATTACAACGAGTAGAATAAATTCATGAAGATTAATTACAATCTTACGGTATAATTTATAAAATCACAGACAGTAGTTTGTTCTTTACGGTTATGAGTTTTATATTTCAGTCGTTAATAAAGCTTTAATAAGAGCTTGAGGTTTGAGATTTTCACGATTTTTATTACAAGGTGCAGTAGAACTTTATTTATCCAAGTGTCACTTGTTTGATTAATGTAAAGAAATCATTTGATTAAAATAAAAAATTAAATTATTTTTAACTATCTACTCGTTGTATACATATACCTCTTTTCTATGTTTTGAAAGTGGTATAAAATGTACTCACCAGGAAGTATCGCAGGCATGCGTCAAGGTAAGGTATCTCGCGCCCAGGCCGTAAAATGTCCTGAGAACACCCAAGGAATTCCCTAGGGAGTGACCACCTTCTACTCCGATGAGACTTGCGATTTTGCCTTCTCGATGCGCCTCGATAAGACCTACGCATGTGATAAAACGCACCATTTTTTAAATAACTTCTCTGCCGTGTACTCAAGAATATAACAAGTAAAATAGAATAAAATAGAAAGTAGAATTAATTAAAAATTCTAAGTTTGAGATTTTCTTTTATTTTATCTGTTTAGCTAGTTCTGTTTGAGTACTGGAAATATTCATTATATCATTTGAATATTGAACACGTTATCACTTACAACTGTCTTACTATTAGTACTAGGCAAATGAATTAAAACAGATAATTATTGTAAAAATGTGTAGCTCACTGTCTTGGCCAAAGTAAGTTGGATACGAATGATTTTATCAATGACATTGTTATGAAAATTGTCCGTATAAACAAATTTCAGAGTAATGCAATAAATATTTCCAGCTCTGTGGATTATTTGTTACGTACAGAGTGAGTCAAAAGTCCCATTAACTTAAACCGAGAAATCAGATTAATGAATTGTTTCTGATGTGTAACAGTGGTGAAAACATTGGTGCATGAACAATCTATATCTGGAAAAACATTGAGATACATCCAAGACGACCATATTACCAAGCATACATTCGATGAAGTGCAGTTTACCTGTCATTCTTAAGTTTAGAAGGTGGGGTAACGATGCTTCTGGTTCACTCTGTATACACGCTTCGTATCCATCATTATTAGAAGGCGTACTTTCCACTACTATTTTTTATTACTATTTTCCGATTGTGTAAAAGTAACATTCTTTGTACCTTTTGGGAACGTTTAAAGAATTTCCAAAAACGCTATGATAATGTTTTAAAAAGTGTATAAGAAACGTTTCCCAAATGTTTAAAATTACGGTTAGATTTTATTCTGTGCAAGGTGGTACAAGTTAGGTTAGTCTGGTTTGTGTTTAATAAACAATAGATCAACTTTCTTGCAATTTCCGCGCTTAGTAGAAATTAGATCAAGTTAGTTCCTGTTAATAAATAAAAGGTTAAATATCCTATACGGCATACGGAATTATAATGAAAATATGGGTCTGGGGGTTATGATCTGTGTGTTCATTGTGTTCATATTTATTGTCATAGCACTAACTCAAAGCAAATAACTGATTCTATGTTGGATAGAGACAGTTTAAGAAAAAGAATATTTTTTTAAATTTCCTGAGGTTTCTGCACAAAACCACTAGTGTCTTTACACTTCTCTGTTGATTTTTTAAAGAATGACGCCTTGGTCATTGGGTTCCATCACCTTGCACGGAATGAAATTGAGTCAAAATTACTAAACGAAACCATCCGAAATTTAAATCCTACGAACATTCGTAAGACTTAAAAAACGGATATTCCTAGAACATCCGAAATTTAAGTCTTGAGAACATCCGTAAGACTTTCGGGACGGACGTTTCTAGAACATCCAAAATTTAAGTCTTACGAACATCCTAGGAATGTCCAAAATGGACGTAGGACATTTAGATACAAACTGGACATGAAACGGACATCCGTTAGATGTACGGTGCTATCTGGGTTATATATCGTATTATATTATTTTTGGTACATATTATAAGTTTATATATGTTGAATATCGTGTTTTCATTTTTTATAATTATATATCATTTTCTTACTTTTCAATAAATTTGGTGTAGATATATTGGTTATGTGACAAAATATTATTTTTATTATGAGCAAGTAAATTACCTTCCAAAATTCTACACAAATATTACGAGGTGTCATACTATGGTGACGTCATTTATATTATGAATTTAATATACGATTATAATTTAAATAATAATAATTGTAGTGTTTAATTTCATTGAAAAAGTGAAGGTAACCTTCTTATATTAGTAAAGATATATATTTTGAAAATTGTAATTAATGAATTCTAGTACATAGAAACTATTTATAAACTGATGACTCAACATGTGATTATCCTTTCTGTGGCAACTCAAGTGAAACCATAGCTTTGATGCATTGAGTAATGGAGAAGTGGACAATGCTGAAACTAAAGAGTTGCTGGCGTGGTATGAAGACAATGAAACGTCTACTGATTGCAACTGAAGAGGTAGAACCTAAAAAGCATACGATTCTTTGAATCAGGAGATTGGTTCTTTCTTTACAATGCGTTGGATTAACGGATACATACGTAAAACAAGGGTCGAACCTTTAGGTTAACGAATGAAATTCTAATGCATAAATGCTAATGGAAATATACATTAATCGTGATCAGTGGCTGTGTTATTATTTCCAACACAGTTTTTTTGCTCATGGTACTCAGATTTAATCTTCTCAGCTCTTTTCAGTAATCATTATCTCTTAGTAGAACAATTTTAGTTACCATATTTGAGCCCAGGTCGAGCTAAACATTCGCCTGTGAAGCCACATAAACAATAAGTGCGCGTGCATGCTGTGACGGCCCCATTTCCAACACGTAGTCACTATGCCAACGTGTGTCACCAAGCAGTGATGCCAGAATCGTGGGTCGAATTACCCCCACTCCTACCCCACTCTGACCTACCATCGTCTCCCACTTAGTGATGGGGAATCCAGCCGTTTGAGACAGCTCGAGCCGGAGACGGAAAGCTCGAGTTGGCTCGAGCTGGCTCGAAGCCGGATGGAATCACTGTGCCAGCCTAATCCACGCTGGCGGCGAGGCGGCGAATCACCGTCAAAGGCAAGAATGCCGGGCCTCGGCGAGTCGAGATGTTATCTGATAATAACCCATGAATAAAAATTTTAACTATTACTCCTTTCCGTGTACTTTATAAAAAATGGTATGAATTCATTTAGATTTTTTTCATTATGAAAATAAGTCCAAACACGACATAATTCGGACTATTTTCAGCATTACTTATGTAGTTCGATTCGCAATATACAGTTTTTACTGTCGAGGCTTTCGGGAATAAGTCGTGTCCTTGTGGAATTGTTTTTCCAACGTTTCGCAAGTATTGCAGCTAGCTTCATCAGGAGGTCGAAGACACACTGATACTAACCTCTCAGTTAAGTTTAAATGAAAAGTTAAAAAATATTAATTTACAAAGCATTTTTAAAATTCGTTTTTTTGTTAATGATTATTTCGCGTGTCCGATAACTGTTGCAGCTGGTCCACGCATATACAGTAGGCATTCAATTCCTGCGCTACCGTCATTTGCACGAAAGACACGCCCCTTGCTCACACTCATTACGATTTATGTAAAAAAAAAGTATTTTCATTCCATACTATTTCAATATCATTAATAAAAGAACATAATTAACTTTGAGAACTGAAAAAATCCTTCACCTACGAAAAAACTGTTACTGCTAAGTAATAGCCCTCTCCATACTAAAAAACTTCTGTGAATACACTTTTCTGATATCCCTAAAAATAACGGAGATAATTAAAATAACCGTAAAGTGCGTATATCCAGCCCACCCTATATGCAGCTGCGTCGCATAAATGAACGGCCGAGTGGTGGGGAAAGCGCTCGGGTCACCGATTCCTGCACGGTTCCTGGAAATTTAGCCCTCTATAGCCCCGACTCGTGCGGGAATCGAATGTCTACTGTACGATGCCGAATGGTCTTTTACTTTTCCACATCTAAAAATAAATAAACACATTTAAATCGTAATTGTAATAATATAAGATAAAATATTGAGGTTGCGAGAATATTAAGGGGGAGACGCCGGTAGGTCATAGTGGGGGAACCAAGTTCCACGATTCTGGCATCACTGCATGTAATGCCTCCACGACAGCAGTAGGTGAATCCCCCACCCACAGTCCCAGTAGCAAGAGAGGAACGCTACTCCAGTTATTGTCCTCTCTTTCTAGTGCCGACTTCATCCCTACCATAAGACCGCGCAGTCTATTACACATATATATCTATGTCTATGGCAATACATACTGTGAATTAGTTTCATCTTAAACGAGACTGCTTCAAAGAAATCGAGCAATTAATACTAGTTGTCTTTGTCCTCTCGAGTTTCCTCGTGAGCAAACTTTCTGTCAGGTACTGCCGTTTCTGCTGTATTCATTGTTACTCACAGTTGGTACGTGTTTCTAGCAATCTAATTACCATTTGCACCAGCACCAGCACTTAAAACTTGGAAATTTGATTTGCCACAGTCTGCTGTTATTAACACTAGAATTACCGACGATAAATGCATATTTGCTTCGATCGGTGGATAAACATGAAAAACTTTTGAAAATTTAGAAATTTAGAAATTGACTAATTTCTTCACTTTCATACCGTAATAAAAGGTGCGAAAGATCTGAGAAAATGTATTATCATAACATTTTAATCGTTGTTGTAAGGGTATATTGACAAGTCATTTTGACTTGCTTGGTAGTTCGAGTTAAAATCGTCGTCGAAATATATATGACGCTAATCCACTTCTCATTATGTTTCCTACCATATTTATTAATTTTATAACTTACTTAATTTTATCAGTAAATAGTTAATATACTCATTACTGTAATTTTGTTTATGAAGCTTATTAAATATTTAATCAATTTATTTCATTTATGTACATTTCGTTTATTTAATTTATATTATTAATAAGAAAAAAATCTACTGAGTAATTAGTTAACTATTAGTTAACTAAACAAGGAAATTAATTAATAACGACAACTTCATTTTTGTTCTTTTTTTAATGTAATACTGGATGTTCGAATTCTTGAACGCAATCTATGTATTGAATGAATAATTAGTAAAAACAAAAGAGAACAAATTACGTCAATCTTTCATTTCATAATGCAATTTTTGTTCTTGTGAAATGGACGGGAATAAATCGCAGGTCGTACCGTTTCGTAATCCGTGATAATGCATCGTCCCTTCTGAGAACGTAAATCTTTGTCCTGTTTCTGTTTCTCGGCACTATGAGATTACATTTTTTATTTTTACAGCAATCCAGGGGAACTGCGTCTGATAAATTTTGACCGAACCATTACATCCGCCTTGATCCTTTATGTTGCAATCTCCTTCAAGATTCTTTCTTCTTCTGTGTTTTCCTTGGTTTTAGAAAACATCAGCGGCACTTTACACTTTCACATGGCACTTTATACAATTCAAATCCGCCTATGATACGAGCCCATCGTGAAATTTATTTGAGACATCTTAAAAGTACAAAAGAAGTTATACTCTCCTCCATCATTTATCGTATTATAAAATAACATTCACATTTTTTATTTATTTTACAGCATTTCTTACTCGAAGTAGTTCTCTCATTACTTACAACTTTCTGCCAGGTTCTCATAAACTTTGAATTTCTCGTCGACCAAATAATACTTCAGGTTAACTACTTGGCTTCAGATTATTTATTTTTAGTTAAACGAGGTTAAATACTGGCCATTTAGTCTTTGAGAGTACATTGTACGATATTTTAATATATTTAATTAACATAGTGAACTAATTAAAAGTATTACTCAATTGATTTGCATTCAGGAATACCAAATATCCTTTCTAAATTAAACGAGGTTAAATAGTAATTCTTTAACCATCGAGGGGATATTTTAGAATATTTTAATAATCTCTAGATAGTGAAGAAGTGTCATTAGAAATTAGGAACAGAAAGTATAGGACTTCTATTCATCTTAATGTCATGAACCCTTATCATTTGCAATAGAAGTTTCATGAGGGAAACCTTATTTAATCGTGAGTTTTACTCAACATATTTTCGACTGTAAGCTACCACCACGTCTATCAATACCTTGAAAAACGTTACACCTCGAGCTCGATACTCTTTTCCTTATTTTTGTTATCCAGATCACTCCAAACACATTATACAGGATGTACAGAAGTGCAAGGAACTCATTGGACAGTAAAATCAGCAAATTTAGAATAAAAATAAATTGATCTTATAGAATTACAACGTCCTCTTACATCTGTTTATTAGTCCGACAATAATTATATCATATTGTCTACTCGTTCGCTATCGCCATTTTTCATGGAAAAGTGTTCGTTACAGATCACACCAGATTTCCAATATTTAATTCAATATCATGTATATATTATATATATCAATATTCATTTTAATATGAATTACTTGTACTGGTGTTACTGTGTCTTTTGCTTGTATTCTCTTCGGGGTAACTAAGTATCTAGTAATAAGCGGTAATCAGGAGTCTGTGCGTACCGGTTAATTTTACATATATTATTGAATAACTATCAATAACTTGATAGGAATGAATGGTAGTCAAATAATTCAATTGGAAAGTAATTTTACAGTTACATTTAGCACGATCAGATTTTACGCATTAAAGATTTATTCTTCGATTTAAACGGACTGCTCACCTTTGACGGAGGTAACCAAAGTTAAATGTTGAGCATTCATCTCGGCGAGTCGGCGGATCACGTCGATTTGTTCCAAGGAAAGTTGAACTGCATTCAGCTGAGCCGCACCGCATGGAACGTATGCAGACCAAAACTGTAAACCAAATACAACGATCGTTATCAATACCCTGTGCTTTACTCTCAGAGAAAAGCACGTGGGAAAGCGCAGTTGGTCTCGTATTCGAGTCCACTCGTGAAGTGTATCTTACAGTAAAGATCTTAGTCGAGTCTATTTCGTAAAACGAAATAGAATGAAATTTTAATAAACGGTGTAAATACTAATGTGCAATTATAAACAAAGGTACTATGTAACATAATAATATAATTGTCATTAAAATTTCAATTTGTCTAGCAAAATTACAGTTTAAATTATACTGTTGTATTAAACGCAGCGTGCTTTATTTTCATCTTTGCATTATCGACTGTAAATTTGTTATCAATTATTATATGTATTATTATATGTAAAGAACATTGACTTCTTGTCACCGTATACGTTTTGCGAGGGCAACCTTGTATCTACAAAAAATGTAATTTAAGAAATGTCAGGTTAGGCTTCAATAATGGAACGGAGCGTGGTTTAAATTTCGATAATCTACCGTTAATACAATACATTTATCACATAGTTTAAAAACTATACCGAAACTTTAATATTTGTTTTAAATCTAATCTTGCTACTCGCACGTGGTGAACTTTTTCTCGGAGCTATTTTGTTGAAGCTAGACATTTGTCACTAAAATATGTCACGAATTACTAACTTTTTGACTAAATACCTTAATACTTTATTACGCAGCATTTTTAGAAGAATCGATTTATGTAAAAGAAAATTATTTTTATTCCATAGTATTTCAATATCATCAATAAAAGAAGATAATTAACTCAGAAGATCCTTCATCTACGAAAAAACTGTTACTAAGTAATAGCCCTCTCCGTACTAAAAAACTTCTGTGAATAAATCTTTCTGATATCTCTAAAAATAACGGAGACAATTAACATAACCGTAAAATGCGTATATTCAGCCTACCCTACATATAGGTGCGTCACACAATTGAATATCTCTCGGCGCTGTAGGAAGATCCACATAGGCCGTCTCCGTTAAAAAAGATACGGGATACAAAGGACAGCGAATGGAAAAGAACGATAGGTCTGCGTGTCGGTGAGACCAAACTCGGCTATCTCGACTCTGATTTCTCTTTCTTTTGTATTCGCTGTCTTTCGTATCTCGTATTCTTGCTCACTGTGACTGACTGTCGCAAGTGGATGCGACAAGGCATGTAACGGGGGATGCGACAGGGGTACGAGACTAGGCTGTAGAACCCAGACAGCTGTCGACGAATCAAATTAGCTGGATCACCTCCACACGTATTTTTATTATTGACGAAAACGGTACACACACAATCGGACTGTGTGATTGACTTGTCCTTTTTTACGTTCGGAATACTACAAAGGCGAGTTGCCGAGGCTCGAGCTTCGGGCAAGAAATGTAATCACGAGGGTCAGAAGCGTTCGCGTGGTCCACGATTATAGTCCCTGCGCAGACCCGAGTTCGGGACAATAATCGCGACACCCCTGTATATCGTGTTCAGTATCATTTTAATTAGTAAAATCTCACCAATATGTTCGTAAAAGTTTTATTAACAGTGAACCAAAGATAAAAAAGTTTCATCGTCATATTAGTGTTGTGTCACCCGATACCCGGCATATAACCTTTCCTTGATGTCCCCTCGTTCAGCCGTCGGCTCGTGAAAGGGAAGCCCTTGCCGCGCGCCGAGCAAAAAACGGTGCGTTTGAGAAGTTCCACAGCCACCGTCTCCTGTAGTGGGGATGACGTCCGCACACTCACCGTGGAGGAGCCGGCGCACACTTATCGAGAATACTCTCTCATATGTACTATGTAAAAAATTAGACAACAGAAAGGAAACAGCATATCTTTTTCGAGTCAAATTGATGTCAATTGTACGAAAGAATTGAAAATATATCTAACTTAATCCCCTTTTAATATTGTATGTTCCTCAATATTTGGATAAAATACATTCTTTAAAAAAAAATAACTTTTTCTTATTCATTCATTTTAGCTCTCGACAGGCGAAAATCTTTAGGCTTTCGGCAACATTCTCCGCCATTTCCAGTCAACGGATGATTGACAGTCGGACGCAGTCCCCAATAATATTGTACGTAGATCCTTCTCAAAGATGTTTGTAATACGTGCGATAGAGACATACTACAGTAGGCGAGAACGCGTGTCAACGCTCGAATGTTATTGGCCAAGACCTGAAGAGTGGGAGAGACACAAGCGCCGTAGACCTGTTGCGATCGCGGCAACGTTGTATACTGGCCGCTGCCTACTCGAGGGTTCTCCTTTCGTGAAAAACACCATAATTTAACATCTGGGTAATTTCCCTTGTTGGATTAATAGCTTCACTAGCGAGGTGCAATCCGAAAAATTGCATTCAAACCTCATTCTATTACGTCACAACCATATATTTTCCTTTTTCAAGTTTCATAGTGGTACATATTATTAATTAGTCACGCGAAAAAAATTACGTTACATTATGTCCTCGTGTTTCATGGGCATGCGGAGCATAGATAAAACATTCCTCTGAAACAAGTTCCGCGGGGGGGGGGGTGAAACGGAAGGGTTTAAGGTGGAGTGAAGGGGGAACGGCACACCTCGGTGCTTCACCGCGTTCCGCTTTGAGAAGCAATGTTACCAATTACTCGGTGGTCTGATTACCGTGGAGTTTCTGCGCCAGCGTAAATATTGAATTTCGGCTCTAGTCTAACTCGATTGGCATCCCTGATTCTCACGGTGTAGCTGCCACGGGATCAACGTTATTATACTAATCGCGTGGTGATATGGCGACGACAGAAAGGCGCGGTAGAGAGTTACGTGCTGCACAAGCGGCTGCGCGAAATTTAATGTAAAACCAGTTACCGTTTAAATTAGAAAGGAGGAATGAAATCTGATGGGTGTCGTTCCAGAGTCGCCTTTTTTATTAGTTTGATCTGCCTTGTGCATTTTGTGCGACGTTTTAAAATATTTTTCTTAATATTGGATGGTTCGAAAAGTTCGTACTGATTTTTACGGAAAATTCAAAAACTTAAATATTTTGTTTATAAATATATTGATCGAATAATGTAGTTTCTATCTTGTTCAATGACCTTTTGCCATCTGCTCTGTAGCTATATAATGCCGCCTTCGAAGAATGTTTGACTTTTTTTATTAGAGAACTGATCCAATGCCACTTTGCATGCTTTTGTTGTATCAAAATTTTCGCCATTAAGAAAGTTGTGCAACGTTCGGAAAAGGTGAAAGTCAGACGGTGCTTGGTCCAGAGAATAGGGAGGATGAGGAATAATGTCTCATGTTAATTCGATTGATTTTCTTCGAGTTTGTAATGACGTGTGCGGTTTCGCGTTATTGTGAAGAAAAACGACACCTTTTCTGTTTATTAGTTCAGGCCGTTTTTCTTAAATTGCTTTACTTAATTCATCGGATTACAAATAGTATGCATCGAAATTTATAGTTCTATTGTTTGGAAGAAGATAGTAATAAAGAGTTCTTTTCCAGTTCCACCATATGCAAAGAATAATTTTCTTCGGGGCAGATTCAGCTTTGAAAGTGTTTGTGGTGCTTCTTCTCGCTTTTCCCAAGACTATTTTTCTCATTATATTATTATAAAATATCGACTTTTGATTTCCGGTAAGGGGCTTTTTGAGGAATGGATCAATTTCAACACGTTTAAGTAACGAATCACAAATTGGGATGCGTTCCATTAAATTTTTCTCTGTCAAAACGTGTGGTACCCATAGATCGTAGATGACCAGCAACTGTGCTTTTGGATATTTTTCTTGTGGTATTTACAAACTAGAATGTGTGCTTTATCCTGTTAGGGTACAGAAAATTTGATAACCACATTTCAAGTAAGTATATAGAGTAATAATGATGGAAGTACCATGGTGTCCGAATATTAAATCGAGTAACTTTATATTGAAATAAAAATTTGTTTATTGTTGAAAATGCTGACTGTCATAGTGGTTGTTGATGACTGTTGATAAGTAGCACTATGAAATCTTCTAAACTACTTCTAATAAATGAATACTATTGAATACAAAATTTGGAATAATATAAATAACTATTTACAGTAAACATGAATGTTTAGCACACGATATACTTACAATTGAAATTATTATATCTAGTGTTAGAGATCAAATGAAATACATATTTATTGACTTAAGGAACCACAACACAACTCAATACAATTGTAGTATAATAATCAAACTATAATTAATTTCTAAAAATACGATTTTAAATTACGAATTCGATTATAAAAGTTATTTGTGTTAAAACTGTGTAAGTGAAATGGAATGAAGCGTAGCATCTCTTTTTAAATTAAAAGGATCGGAAGTTAACATTTGCAGAGTAATGTTTAGGTCAACATTGTAAGGTGATCGGGTTTATGTTGGACCGATCATCATAAAAGAAACGTTAAACATTAATAAAAGATACGACACTCCGTCATATATTGTATGTATACAATGACGACGGTCCACGAATTCCTTTTCGAGGGTGTACTACGTGACCGAAGCGCAGATTCCGTTCGACGTCGAAAGACACGGACACGCTGTATTACGATAACTTACACAGGGTAGAAAGTTAGAAAAATAAACAAAAGTAACGGCGGATCCTGTTAAGGTCAACACGTTGCGCGTTTAGTAATATAAATTGGCTTCGTGAAGTTCTTTAAGTCTGTCGTATTTTAACGAGAAAGTTTCGTTTCAAGAGTCCTGGGAAAGTGTCCCTGCATTAAAGTTACCGGTTATTAATTACTCAGGTATAAATTAAATAACCGAAGTTCGTCTTTTTGCCAGTGAAATAGCTTTCCCGTTATCCGGCGGAATTTCACGTAAGGAAAATGAGTTCGTTCGTCACGTCTAGGATAAAAAATGTATTAAGTATACCACGGGACATTCCACTTGTATATATTTATACCGGGCCTACTTGTATATGTCAAACTGCCGTTCAGGCCGTTCGAGAAAAGCGGAGTCATCTTTCTTGCTAGCGAAACCGGGGCAATAATGTATGTATGTATCGGT